CTACTTTAAGCCTTAAATACTTAATTTTAAGTTACAAAAGGCAAACATCTAATTTAGCCATGTAAATGAGGCAACTAAACTATCATTTTCGTAGTGCTCGAGGTCTGCTTGAAATACACCTTAAGAATATTTTTTGTGCAGTTTTTCTAGTTTTATTTCTTCTGTATCTGAATATTATGGATGATAATTGATGTTATAATACACAAATGTAACCCGAAACTATAGAGTTAAATGAAATGGTGTGGTAATGTGTATGTTAAGGAGTAAAATGTGTTGACTGTTTTCTTCCATGTGACACATCTCTACCCATGTGTGAGGTTGCTTGATGTATGTTGTTATTCTGATGAAATTGATGCATGATTACAGATGGTTTTTAAAATATTATTTTTGTAGATCTGAGGAAATATATTATAAGGTCACTTACTGATGAATATTTTTCTCCCTTGTGTAGTAATAATTAACTTTTTAGGAAATGCTTATCAAGTTTAGCTACGAAAAAGGGCTGTCTTATAGGGCACTTGCTTTTAAAGGGTACACACATTACTTGAGAGAAGGTGAAAGGACATTAATTTTTAAGACACTTCTCTGACAAATTTACCTGATTTAATAATGTGCTAAACTCTCCGTGTGTTCTACATAGTTTATTTACTACAATATTTAATCTTGATTTTCCACTGTCTCGTACATTCTTTTTGCCATATTTTTTACTTATATTAGTGTTTAAATGATCTTTTGAAAGAGTAACACAAAGGAACATTGATGGTTAATGGCAAATATTTCTCTTTGAACACAGTTGCATTTCAATGTAAATATTCACAGAAAATAGCATATTGCTACACAAAGAAGGAAAAATGCAGGAATTTCGGAATGTGAATAAAGAAACATGACCAATGTTTATGCTTCAAATATCTTAATTGGCTTTCCAGTATGTGGTAAATATGAATCTATATGTGATTGCTGAGCCGTACTTTCATACCTTGAAGAAAGTCTGGAAATAGAAGCTCCTAAAACAAATCCTGCAACTGTAATGTTGGGCGTTTGCACCACTGAAAGGGGAGACCTACGTAATAGTAAATGTTACATTACAAATATTGAAGCAATACGTAGCTATAAAGTTAAATTATGTTAAGATACTTTGATGTTTTGGTTTGTTGTTCTTGAACTATTTTAAGGATTTCATGAATCAGAAGGTCATGGCAACTGACCAGAAGACAGAGAGGAAGTACATTCAGGGTTTGAGGTTTCTTTACATCATGTTTTTGGACAATATCCAGCGCTTCTTAAAACTGTGTGCTTCAGGTTGACACAGCTGTCAGGACCTTCTTTCCTCACCAGAAACACTCTTTATTTTACTTTGGCTGGAAAAATTGTTGACTGTTGAAGATCTCTATCTAAAACAAATTCTGTTCAGAATTAGTCTGATGCTAGAAAACAGCTTTATGGTGAGTTGTTCAAAGCCTCTGTTTTCTTCCAAGGTTCAGATTTTTTAGTGTGAAGCAGCATTTTCTCCAGTCCCTATACTGTTGCCTTTTATCTTGCTGCATAGTTATGGACTACAGCAGAAGTCTTTGGCTGTGATTCATCGTGAACACTCTGAATCCTTAAGCAAGCTTATGACAGAGGAGGCCAAGAGCTAACATGACCTTTAAATATAGCAATTGCCATAGAATTTTATGAAGTAGATTTTTACATTTTTTAAATTTTAATTTTTCTTTTAGCTAAAAGCTAAAACTTTTTTTTCAGTGGAATGTGGCAAACAACCTAAGTTCTCAGAAAACCTTGTGAAAATCAGTGTCTTTTGCTCAAACCATGTGGTGACTGTGTCTGGAACACACATGTGCACGCCTGTGTGTATTGTTTATAAAGCAGCATACATTATTCTGTATTTTGAAGTCTGAAACCTGTACTTACTAATTTTTATTCCTTGAATCAAAGCGAAAGAAATTATGTTGGGTAATTAAAAAAAAAGCCTGTTAACAGCTCTACTTTGCAGATGTGTTTTAGTGCCATATTCCTGGTGCTAGTAATCAGAGTATCTGTGAATTAAAGTCAATGCCATTGCTAGGTACTGAAAAATATAATGCAATTGTTAGAATATAATTTCTTTATGTACCTCATGGAAAGCCAGTTACTGCAGATGAGAGTAGCAGCTGTTCTTGTATTCCCAAACTTTTACAGTTTTGAAGGTGGCAAGGTATACAAAAAAATCTTAGAAGGCAAAAGGGACTATTGTGGTCATTTACTGCTGTCTGTCGCAGCCCATGAAAAAAAAAAAGTCGTCTTAATTTCTTTGCTTGAATGCACCTCTCCTTGGGCAGCTCTAGAGAGTCTGACAACTTGCTGAAACTGCTCCCTTGCTCCCTCAGTGCAACTACTCTTAAGCACACTGAAGGTCAGTAGAAGTTTACAGGAAGGAATGATAATATATAGTGCTGTGTCAGAAACAGCACAGAAAATGGAAGACACTTGTAGCTGGGATTTTTTTTTTTTTTTTGGTCTTCACTCATTGTCAGCTTTAGTTGAGCAGTGTTAAGATAACAGCTCCATCTGCAGACAGGTTTCCTTGCTCCTATGCAGTTCCAGAACTGTTACTTGCCCTGCGAGGAGCTTCTTGTAGTTAGTGCTAGAAATGACTCCTGTTCTCAACTTCCTTCTTGATCCTTCCGGCATGTTCATTTCTGTATTTTCATCTGAAAGGCGGGAGTTCTAATATATAAAATTAGTCGAAGTTCAGTCATTTATGTGTAATTTTTTTAAGGTGTGGGTCTGGCTTGCCCTTTACAGCTTGAAAGATCACCTGGTTTTAGTTCCTGGGGCTCTTAATAGAGAGTAAGATCAGTAGCGTTCATAGGCATTCAGAGGACACAGCCATTCTGATTTGATGTTTTGAGAGAATTCTGGTTGACTTTAAGCCCTGGAAACAGAAAACCTGTCTAGAATTTTACCCTCAAGGTAATTTGCTGTTTTCCAATTTAAAATTAATTTTGTGAATGTTATGTTTTGAACAGACACTACCTGTATGTGCACGATTGCCATCTACATGTGGACCAAAATTTGTCACTAAACATTCTCCCATGTCACCTTGCATCCAAGATAATTGTGTTTGTATTAGTTAGCAGTAAAGGGATAATTGCTAGTGGATGTGCAAAGAAATATTTCCAGCTCGTGCACTGAGATCTTACAGAGTCCATATGAATAGACGTGTATTTGTAATATGTCTGTATTATTTGACTTTTATATTTTTGATCAGTATTTCTTAAATTGAACAACTATACAGTAAAAGAACTTAAAATCTCTGAAGGAAAACACCTGAGCTTCAGTGCTGGATTGCGAACGTTAGGGAAACGTTGAAAAGTTTGCTCTGTGTGGGTGCATCTTGTACTCAGTAAACTTGTATTGATTTCCCAGCCCCTTCCAGGTTTTGAACGTGTGTTATAGAATAGTAGTAAGTTTCCAGATGGTGAATGTCACAGAATCTTGAGCGAGAGATCCCCTTCTTCTACCTGGGTGATGCAAAATTACTCGGTAATATGGCTATAATTTAGAAGACAGTCTAATTACATGAATTATTTTTTTTAGTGCATTGTTCGTGTTTTGGGGAAACTGACATGAATATATGAGCAAAATTCATGGTTTGGGCACTATGTCTTGACTTTGGGGCTCAGGTGTTGTTGCTTCTATTTTTTTAGTGTATAGTTAACATTAGCAGTCACCCTTATAATGATATGGCATGTACTGCCTCCAAGTATGGTGCCTGCCTGCTCCTGCCATTAAGGAGGGTTGATTTAATCGGTAACATGGTCTGGCTTCTGTGACATGCTTTGGACTGAAGAAGGGACTGAAATACAGACCTTTTTTCTCATTCTAGCAAGAGCTACTTTAGAAATATTTGACAGAACTTCTTTGGTTGTTATTATCACACCTGAATTTGAGTCAAATTTCTAAGTTACTTTATTTAGAAAATGAATATTTTAAAGCTATTAAGGGAATACTTTCATTGTGTAGTTACAGTACTGTCGACAAAAGATGTGATTAAATAAATTGAATGTTGAAGACTTTTGGCTTACGGTTAACACCAGGTAATTAAAAGTAAGCGCTGCTGTGGGAGTGCATTATATATCAGCTGTACTCTTTACCTCATTAGCTGTGTTTTTGCATGTTTATGGAGCTAACTTGCAATTAAAAATGCCTTTAACGTATGCTTAACAAGGCCTTTTAGGTATTTGGAATAAAGTACTACAATTTAATTGAAATTGGTATAGCATAAATAGATGTCTTAGTAACATGTAAGATAAATCTCCATGCCTAACTTGTCACTTTGCATATTTTCCTCTTGTGTAATCTTTAATGCTGACTATAAGGCCTGACATTTAACTTGTATATGAAATGGAGATTCTCTCTTCAACTCCAAAGAGTGTTTTGATTTTTTTTATATAAGCAAAACTTGATTGACAAGATATACTCAAATTAATGCCTTAGCCATATTTTTAACATGTGTGAACATTTGTATGTACAGGCGGGTATGTGTTAGAGAGTTTTTAGCTGTAGTATATCCTTCTTCAGTTAGTCTTCTGTTCTGCATTAGAATACCAATAGTGATAGACTGTCAAGGCAACCTTCAGTATTGATAATTTATCTTAGTGTTTTAATTTTGAATACTGTGAGATCTTTTGTAAATAGTTACCTGAAGTTTAAAACCAAATCTCAGTGAAACTAAGGTGAAAAGTAAAACCTACGTGCAGGTCACTTGTCCTTCTGATCTTCTGACCGTGTGCTTGTTTGTCAGGGATTTTGCAGATATTAAAGTGTACTATAGAAACTAAAGCAGGGTGAAGTGTCCTTTAGGGTAAGGTAGATTGACAAAAATGATGGAAAAAGAAAATAGGGGAGCAATGGTACTTTTGCAGGATGTGGAAGTGTATGTGCTAGATGTGTAAATGAAGATCATGATGTGTGAACCTTCATACAGTATTATTTACTAATTTTTTTTCTTCACCTAGGAGTGTCGTTGTACCACCAAAGAAATCAACTATTTCCTCTTCTACAGCTGCTATGGGTATTCCTACAAATGCTGTCAGTGTGGTTTCTTCTTTAGATTCAGCCCAAGCCCCGGATTTGTCAGGAGAATCTCCTGGTGAGTAAGAGTAAATTAAACAACTTAAATCCCAGCCCTTCCTCTCTTGATTTCTGTCATTCACCGTTCACTCTGAATACAAATTAACAAATAAATTTTTTATGTGTTTTTTGTTATTGGTTTACGTGATGGTGAGATGCCCGTATCTCAAAACACTGTAGGTGAGAACAATTGTTTTTCAGACATTGTGGTGAGTTGCCTTCCGTTGTAATACTGATTAGTGTGTGTGTGTGTGTATATATATATATATTATCTGTCTATACAGGAGTCTTGCTTATACTAAAAACGTTGGTAGTTATTGCTGGTTATATTTTCTTAGGGGGAAATGTGCCGATAGTCTGGGAAGATGATGTTTTACATTTTATTTGTTTTTTAAGTACTGGAGTGTATGTGGTATAACATGTGCTATATTATCAAGTCAGACAAGGGGACCTGTGAGACCTTTGTATCCTGCATACTACTTTTTCTATATCTTTGCCGTATGCCCTCACATAGCAGCTTGCAGGCCTTCATTCAGTATCTGTGCTTCTAACAAAGACCAATGTCAGATACTTTACAGGAAAATAGATGTGACTCTAGGTTAAACTAGACCAATTGTCAGTGACATTATATGGGTTCATGAATGTAGGAGTTCATCCTTTTTGATGTTTTCTGAAAGTTCATCCCCCAGATCATTTTATTATACCTAGTTTTGATGCTGTAGCCACACAAATGTAAGAAATAACCTGTTTATAAATAAAAAATATGAAAGTATTGTTGTATTAAAAAAATATAAAAAAACTTTTTTAAAAAATTAAAACTTTGCATAACTTTTTTGGAGTTCTCCTTTTGCCTTCATCTAGCAGAACAAATGACATTTCTGAGCAATATTTGTCATGATTTCAAGATTTCTCACAGGTTTTGTGAAGCTGGTATTTAGTATAAATATGTTCTAGTCTAAAGACTACTTTTTGTTACGGATTTTTTGTTATGTAAAATATAAGTTATTTATAAATTGTAGGGTATTTGTCCAAGGATATCTGTGTTAGTGCTAAGTAGGGCTGAAAATTATATACAAGTGTTTCCAATAGTTTTAGCCTGAGGTCAGATTCAGTGTTGATGCTGAACTAATTGCTTTGGACAGTTTTTTCAGTGGGGACAAAATTGAGTAGGTTGTTTATAAGCAAGTGGTCCTTTGAACTCTTAGTCTCTCTGGTCATTCTGTATGAGATAAATGATGCCTAACCTTATATGCTGTGTCAAAGGCATGCTTTTCTACTTAGCCATGTTTAAGTCACAAGGCTTTGTAGGATCTCATAATTGTTTGTGCCCATGAAGTTTAATGTCTAGACTTAGAACTTATTTGCATCTTAATCGAGGAAATCTCAATCTATGCCTGATTATTGGTGTTTCTTTTCAATATTTGAGTTTCTTGCTTCCTGTTTTTATGAACTTACATCCAAATTGCAAAGATTGAGGGGAAAAAAATGTAATCTGTTGTCATGTCCTCTAGTACTTGTGTCTGGAAGATTATTGTTGCCATCTTCAACTGCCCATTGGATTTCTTGGGAAAATCAAAATGGTTTTATTCCAGCCACGATAAAGGAAAAGAAAAGCTATTGAAATCTAGCATGGTCTCTTTCTTTGCAAAAGGGAGAATCTGTTTTGTTACTGAAACTGGAGGAGGTAGCACTATACTAGTCTAGGAGTAATGTTTGGACTAGAAAAATTAGCTGTCTTTTTAAAATGTTGCAGTTCTTTGGGGGAGATTATCTCTAAGCAGCTAATCTGTTTTAAAAATAATAAAACCTTACCTACGTTGAAATTGTTTAAAATAATTGCTGATTTGTTAACTTCTTATGGTTTACCCAGGTTAGATGTGGGCTTAATTATTACAATTTCTGAAGTCAGTATTCACTTGCTTTTAATAGAAATGAAATAGGGGAACATTGATTTTCAGATTTAGTCAATCTTTTAAGAAGCTATAGAAGAAAAAATAAGTGCTCCTGTGTCTGTAGAATGTGTAAGAAATCCAGACAATAAACAATACTGATGTAATTTGTAACTGTGTGACTTCCAGCATGTCTGGGAGTTTTGGCAAAAATTGGACATGTAATCTGAACTGATATGCATAAAAAGAAACTAATCAAGATTAAAAATAGTAGACATGTTTAGACTGGCAATCTAATTAATTAAAAGGAAAAAGTAAAGGGATAAATGAAATCATGCCTTAAACAGATTAAAACGTGAGACTCTCTTTTTTCCCCAGTAAAATAATGGCATAGAAACAAGAATTTTGCAGTTGGACTGATTTATGGTTTTGTTGCTTATGTAAATTGCACACATTTAAGTTTCAAATAAAGTTCTATGTAAAGCCTTTTAACTTCTTTATTTGAGGATACAAGTAGCAATAAGCGAGTTTTCTCTAAACCCAAAATAGAGTATACATAATTTTCCCGTGAGTTGAACTCAGGTATTCTTTGACTAATTTATTGTTTCATGCAGCAGAGAAACAATACATTGTTCTCATTTTTTTTTTTGGCTAACATTCATTGTAAGTCTGTTTACTTTTGTAATTAAGAAAAAAAAGAATTAAATCCCTTTTTTAAAAAGTGCTAAGGCTGGGGGTTCATGTAGTCAATATAATATTTGGGCTTTTTCAGATTTTATATGAAAGCTATTCATTAATCATTATTGCTACACTTAAAAATACATTTCAGCTGTTTTTTCTAAAGTCAAAATATTTTTTAAAGTGAGTTTTGTATGCATTTGCTATGTTTTAAAAACTGATTAAGCAAACAGAACCTTAATATAATAATATAATGCTCTACTGTGGAGACTTCAGTCGATTAACTGCAAAACAGAGATGAAAGTGAGATACAGACGTTGAAATGGAATTAAACAGCAAGTGATAGTGTTTTAGTTGTAATATGTACAGCAGCATAATTTGAGAATAAGTTTTATATAGTATGTGAGCATCCTTCACATGTAGATGTGATGTCAAAATTACTCGGTCAAGGTAGGATCTGTGTTGAAATATTAGTTAGTCTACATGGTTCCAGATCCCCCATTTGGCCATTTGTGTGTGCTCAGAATTCATCAACCTCCTTCCCAGTTTTTTTTCCTGAAGTTTACATCTTGCCTGTAGCACCAGGTCTGTGAGTATCTCAGATATTTGACCCTTAAGATTGTCCTAAGCTCATATCAAGTGGATGTGACATGTCCTGGCCTACCAAATACAAAGTGTTGACAAGTTGGAAAGATAACTATCTAAGCTCACTCTGTTCCTCTGATACTTTGAAAGAGGGTGAAAACATGTTTTGTCCTCGAGACAGCCTGGCCTTTTCACAGGACAAGTTTCTTCACCTTTACTCATTCAAGCTGCTGAGTATTTCACAGCACAAAATACCTTTCCTGAATACAAATGTGCCCCTTGTGTTCTAAACTTGCCCCTTGTGTTCTAAACTTGCCCGTATGTTGCTGATGGCTGATATTTGGGTTATTGGTGTGCTGGAGTTGCTACTCCAATTGTTGAAAGGGCTTGGAAATGAATGGAGAAAATAAAGCCTCTTCATGGACCATGAGCAGCCAATCATTTGTCTCTTACAGAGGGTGGTACTGAGTAAAAGACTGTGTTTACCAATAATAATCGAAGGAGGAGGAATTTACTCGAGTTGTTTCTTCCTTCGATTGGCTCGTAGGCTGAATGTCAGATTTGATGCAGAGATTTTACACATGCTGTATCCAGGAAGGGCTATTGGAAAGGCAGGACTAATGTTTGGATAGGCAGGACTTGGCAGAGTTGTTTGAACTATTGTGAATATGCTAGTGGGATACTTGTATTTTTGTTTGTCACTTAGTTTTCCTTCTAAATGTTTCAATGACAGTTGTAATGTTCTGAAGAGATGTGAACTTTTTTGAACTGTTTTGCAGTTTGCACTCCCACTGTTTTCTCAATGCTCTGAGTTTGTCTGTACTTGAAGGATTTCACATGCTGTTTATTAGTGCTTCACTACAAGGAATGCAATTTTGAGGCTTTCACTATGTGGTTTGCAAATGGTTGTTCAAATATAAATTTTTTTATGAAGAGGGAGTATGAAAGTCTGTAGGAAGCAGGAGTGAATTGCGTCTTGTCCTTACTGACACTCTGAGTGTAGAAAACACTGAGAAGTTCCACTCAATTTCTGTTGCTTGCCTCCTTCCCCTCTTGGAGTTCTTTGGGTCTCGCGTGTTTTGCCTCTGAGCCACACAGAATTGCCAACAGGATTTCTGCTTCTCCTGAGCAGAGACATGGGCTGTTTCTCAAAGTGTGAAGCCATAAACAAGGCCAAGTCAAAGGCTGAGGTGAAAAAGGAGGTGGATGCTTGGAAGAAACCTGGGAATAAGCATTAACAGGAGATAAAAAAGGAGTTGTAACACCTGAATTCTAGTCCTACATGTAGGAGAATGTAAATTTTCTCCCACAGTTGTCTTGTTTTGCAAAGAAGAATGGTATTCATTGATTTTTTTTATACACAGGTGAAAATAACCTTGAAGACTTGCAATAAAACAAGTTAGCAGGAGACAAGCTAAAGTAAGAAAAATGAATGTGAAGTGAGCTACCATCAGTGCAGAGGTAGTTCAAGAAATTCTCTGGATTATAGTAGCTATTTTGAAGAGAATTCCAGCTTCACAGTGCCATTAGTTGAAGGCTAGTTACCAAAGCAGAATGACACTTAAGAATCTCAAATGCTAATGATATGCAAGGGAAATGGTTTAATACTGTTTCAGTATAATTAAGTGTTTTAAAGCAACTTCTCTTTAGAGGGTGCACCATGGTTTCATGAAATCTGTTTTGGCTTAACCTACAGATGTGTTTACGTAACAGATCTCTTATATTAGCTTGTAAAACCTTTCATTGTAGTCTTGCATTTTACTCTTCCAGCCCTGGAAGTGTATTTTTGAATGAGCTCGTTCGTTTACTAGATATTCCTTCCATAGAGAGCATCGGTGTATTTATGTATGTTGTACAAAATTAAGAGGTGTGGTTATTTAATTTAACTCTTTGGGTTTTTTTGCCTCATCTCCATCCTCCTGGAGTAAAGTATATCATGCAGTGTGTGTGTATTGCCAAGTGTACTTTGTAAGTGTATATGCAAAAGCATGAGGATCTTGCACAAGGAGTTTCTTTAACATTATTTTATTGCTAGAGACATTATTTGTTTAGACCTTTGGGGACCTTGAATAAACAATAAGATTTCACTGTAAGGGTGCTAGACAGATGATCTATTTGCATTTTCTTTTATGTTCTTGCAAATGTCTGTAAAACTGTCAGTTTGAAGGAGCCAGTTTATCAGTGAAAGGATAAGGAAGAGATAAGTCAGTTTAGTTCCACATGTTTGAAGTAGCTACTGCACTTACCCACATGTGTGTTGTGGATGAAAATATGCTACTGAAGTATTTTCTTTTTTTTTTTACTGAAGGCAGAAAAAATAGTAGAATAAAAAGCCACTTATGAGTTAAATAAAGTCAAAAAAGTACTTTCACAAAACAGTATTTGAATGCAAAAATCACTATGCCTAATCCCATCTAAAAAAAAAAAAAACAACAAACCAACCCTGAAACTCTTAACTGTGATAAATCTGAGATTCACCCCTTTTAGTGAAATATATCTGAGTTTGGAATGTGGATTTAGGTGATGATAAGCATGAAGAAATTCAGGCCATAAATATCCTTACATAATCTTCAAAAAGAGTATCAACTTATATAGGTGCCTGCCTTATGCTGTTGTCAACTTCAAATTATCAGTGCTTTTACTGTTATGTCTATATTTAAAAGTTGATTTTTAACTTAAAATGTCATAGTTTTACATTTATACCAAATCTGTTATGCACAATTTGTTTTGATTTCTGGAAGAAAAAAAATCATGCCCTATCTGTGGTGTCAGTGATTTCCTTTACCTCCCACTCTAACCATTTTTACCCATGCCATTGTGTGTAAAAACAGAAAAATAACGAAAACCCCAACCCATCCCACAAAATAAAACAAACAACAAACCCCCCAAGTTACCTCAGATTGAGTGTATATCTCTTCATTAGCCTTGTGATGGCTATTATGCCCTTTCATTGTCCTTGCAGATGTTTCCCTTGAACTTTTTTCTAATTTTTCCTTCAGTTATTTTGCTTGTGGCCTAATTATGGCATTGAATTATTTTCATCTGATTTAATTGTAAAACTCATACTACCTATGCTGCACTAAGTCCTATTTTTTTAACTGATAAAATGATCCTTGATTTTGTTATGCATTTAATATGGTGGGATTTTAGTTGCATATACTTTTGAATTCTAATACATACAATAATTAGTGGATTACTGGTCACAGATTCTATTTGTCGTAGAAAGCATGCAAGCATTTGTATAACAAGACATTCTGTATGTGCAATCTGCATTCTGATTTTGAAGGCCTTGGAAGCCATTTCAGTTCTGTATTCTGTTGAACTACTTGGAGCAGTGTGCTGATTTCCCCTTATGGGTGGTGTATGGGTTTAAACTCACTATGGGCATGTGGATTTAAGAATATTTTTAAGTTAGAGGGACTTGCTTAATGAAAATAGGGATGTTGGGCTTTAGGGAGAAAGCTGGGAGTTCTAGTGAAATTATTTAAATATAAAGGGTTATCATGAAAATGAAATAATTGCTTTAAAGTCTTAATCCAACATATTGTGCATACTTAAGTATGATTGTATGCGTGTAAAACCAAAACAAAATAGTCTGTAGCTATTAAGTGTCCCATAATCAACTGAAGTTTTTGGAATCACCGAATCATGTGGCTTGTTGCCTTCTGTGGACTTTGTTTTGTTTTTCTGTACAGGAGGCTTCTTTCTAATTTTCAGCACATCATTTAACTGCTTTTCCTTTGGGAATACTAAAAATACTTTTTGCTGATTTGACTATGTAAAACTAGATCTTAAAGAAATGGAATTATATCTATGAAAATATTGAAAATATTTACAGAATCTAGCCATCACCATTGAAATTTTCAGAAATGTATCTTTGATTTGCCTTTATTAGATAAATTATTTAGGAAACAATGCCCAGAAGATTCAGATTACACCTTGCTTTCAGCTAACACTTTGTTCCCTGCTTTCTTGTCCTTCATTTTGTATGGGCCTCTCAAAATTTCTTTCTGACTCTGTCATCCCATACAAAAGTCAAAACAAGAGCTTTGTGTTGAATTTATGAAAAGTGTAAGTGAATTATGTCCACAAATGTATCTCCTACCGATGAAGGAAAAAAAAAAATACGAACAAAATTTTTCACCATTTTGATGCATTAGTTTAATTTATTAGTTTCTGTACTGCCTTTGAAGCAAGATTAGAGAAAAACATCTTCCCCAGATAGAGGGGAAAAAAAACCCCCGTAAGCCACAAAACCCCGATGTTTCTGGAGTGAAGCTCTCTGTGCCGGTGTTTTGGAGCAGAAGTTTGAAAGTTAACAGGAGAAATAAACTTAGTATCTCAGTGATCTGTCTTTGCGATCTACAAATCTATTCCACTTTCAGTAGAAAGACTTTGAAAAGTTGCAGTTGACACATTTTGGTAGACACTTTCGAGATCTTAGCAGCTTATTTCGAGACAGGTTGCATTTAAGTGACCTCACTCCAGCGTAGGTGGGATGATCAGGAATTTTTCTATAGTTATAGTTCTGAGAAGGGTCATGTCTTTGCTAAGGTAGATGTGAGAGCTGAAACTCTTTTCTTTCATGCTTTTTTCCTTTTTTTCTTTTTTTTTTTTTTCTTCCCCCCCTTTCCAGCAGCATAAGAATCTGAAACTGGTGAGGTGAGAGGAAAGAGAATAGGACAGGGTCTAAGGTTGGAAAGAGATAGGATTGCAGATGGACTAGAAGCAGTCGTGCTCCTGGGAAATGCACAGAAATCTGTCTGCTAAGATTCATTCCTCTCTATAGTTTGGAATGCATTGCAAGATTTGTGAGTCACCATTCCTATCCTGGCAGCAAATATCTGTGAAATCTCTGGCTGTCTTGCTTACCCCCTCTTCATCATTGCTAATACCAATCCATACTGCAGTATGGAGGTTGTATTTCTCTTTATATACTGGACAGCAGAATTTAGTATTTACGGATTCTGACTCTGCTGATGAGAGCCATGTAGTGTCAATTTGACATAACACAATTGCATTTTTTTTGTAAGCGTAGGATACATAACGACCCAGTCTTCCCTATCAACCTTTGAATAATTGATGTGGCAAAGTTAATAACTCATAAATGAGGTTATACCACTGCCATCATGCTAATGATGCTGGCAGCGCAATGGAGAATTTTATCATAGCTGTCTTTGTCAGAGTCCCAGTGTTGCGAAAATTTAAGCCAGGCTGTTGAAAATACCCACTCATTTTATATTCTGCTTTATTTTGACACAAATACGTTTTAATTTTAGACAAAAAATTAAGAATGTTTTCTGTGCAAGTTACTTGAAATTGGATGAACACTTCCAGTAACCAAAAGAGGTGCTTTAAAATGTTAAAATTTGTCTTTACATTAGTACATATTATATTAGTATATATTAGTACACTACAGGAGCATTAAGGGCGTTAAGACATTATTTGTGTTCACTGCATAAGGTTATAAGTGTTATTAAACTTGTTCAGAGGGAATCATGGCTTATAAGGCCAGAAGGGATCACTGCAGTCTAATCTGACTTCCTTCACAAAGCAAACTGCAAGGCTTCCTTGAATTACTTTCTGTTTGTGCTAGACCAAAATTTAAAAAGCTTGTCATGGCATACCTGGTAAATATGAATGTAAGTAAACAGTATTTTTATGGCAAAGAAAGTTTGAGGTACAAAACAGTGAAAGGGTTTACCTTTTCCTCACACATACTTGAAAACTGTGGTTGTCAGAGGTTGAGCTCTAGGCTTTAGTTTCTGGTCGAGTTGTCTAACCTCTGGCATATTTCCTTATATAATTCATTTATTTATTATTTTTCTTGTAGGAAGGGGATCATCTAATTCAAAATTGCCGTCTGTCCCTACAGTTTCTTCAGTACCTGAGGATTCTGCTTCAAATATGAGGTAACTTCTTCAACTGAACATCTGAACAGTTGTGCTGTGGCTCACATTTTTGATATTATGGTTGATATTCTGATTCCACATCACTTAAGTATGTTGGTTTACTAATGTTCAATACATAATAAAGGTTTGGGAAAATAAGAGTGTCAAATTATTGATTCCTTCATAAACATGTATATCACTTAAACGTTGCCAAAAACTATACTCCTTTCTACAAAATTTCAGCAACTTCCTTCTTTTTTTGTTGATCACATGTATCTCTCTACTAGTATTACAGACAGGCTTGAACACGCTTTGGAAAAAGCTGCCCCACTTCTGAGAGAGATTTTTGTGGATTTTGCTCCATTTCTTTCTCGGACTCTTTTGGGCAGCCATGGGCAGGAGTTGCTGATAGAAGGTACAAGTAAGTTTCCATTTAATAAAAGGGGTTTTTGGTGTGCTTTGTTTTACCTTGGAGACTCAAAGTTTCTGGTTTTTTTTTTTTTTTTCTTCTGATGGCTCTGTCTTAGAAGCTTCCTTCCTACCTTCCCACACAGTGCTATCCACTGGATTTCGCTGCCTTCTGTTCCTCCTGTCTTTAGTCCCTCGAGGTCATTGTCACTGCCTCCTCATCTTTGCCATCTATGCTACCTCTTTGCCTCCATCTCATCTCATCTCATAGTTTCTTTTATCTCATTGTGTGTGACCAACTGCTGTTGTCTCTTCCTTAGTTTTCCAGCTCTTCTAGGGAATTGTCCCATAGAAGCTGGTGCATGAAATGTGTTTTGTGAGCCTTAAGAAGAAAACTTGGTGTCAGGGTCAACAAAGTGAATACAGAGATACAAAGTAAAGTTTAATGTAGAAAGAGAAGTACAAAGACCTTGCATTTTTACTGCGAGTTGTAACAAGATTTCTGGGGAACTCTGTCAGCAGAGCATGTTATGGTGTATCTCTTGCATGTGAATCTGCTCCCGTCTTTTTGGTTTCTAGTTGGAAGGCAGGCAGTCATACAGGTAAGAGGAATACATTGTAAGTACCAATGTGTCTGGTACTTCTGAGAAGCTGAAGATTCAGGTGCACAACGATCATGGCTTTTCCTGGTGTTGGCTTAAAATGATTGAGTTTGAGATGATTGAGTTTTCTTTCTGCTGGTGGGTTTCTCTGTTTAAAAACAAGGCTCAGTTCTGCAATGCAGACATTAATGTCCTGAATTTAAAAAATGATGTTTATTGAAATGTGAATTTAGTAGTGAACACCAGTTTTCTCAATTTTATAATAATTTGGTTGTATCATATAAATTGCTTTGTCCACTGATTTTTAGAGTGAAAATTGCAGTTTTTGTCCGGTTAAAGCAGCGAATTGGATGATGGCCTGAGCTTGTTGCAGCTTTCAGTCATGAAGCCCTCACATGTTAGAAGCTTGTGGTTGCTTAACTTGATCTGATCGCTTGCACCTGAGCTGTTGGCACTGGTAGATCTAGTTGATTTCTGGGGAATTAAAGTTCTTCTTTTAAAACATTTTTGAAACTACTTGTTTCATGGATTAGGACAGGCATCCTGAATGTAGTGCTGAATATGGTTAATGTTGTCAGAAACACAATTAGAGTATGAAACACTGATAGGTGTTTTACTGAAGGCTGCTGATATCAAAATTAAGACTTAAATAAACTTCACAGAAATTATTTCGTTTAGGAATTCAGCTTCCTATCTTTTTGGGGTAGGAAAAAGTGGCAGGAAGTGTATGAATTGTCTTCTGTGAGACTGAAAAAGATGGGATTGTACTTTTGATTGTACATGTGGGCATCGCTTTAGCTGATAAACATTTTAATGGAAGCTGCCTTGTGAACAAATTTCATTCATTTAATAACAGGAAAGAGATTTCTCTTAAAGTTTTATTTGCCAGGGAAGTAAATATCCTATTTAGTTACATTTTTTGTTGTTTTCTGAAGGTAAAAAGATAATCTACTTTCAAAATATTTTGAGTGTAGTATAGATTGTATACACAGAGAGATGAATATTTCATAGATTGGATAACCAAAAAAAGCAGGAAAATTATTGGCAGTGTATGAACTGTCTAGACAAAAATAAACACAGAAAACTGATTTTTAGGCCTGAAAACCAGCTATGGACAAACTTGAAACAAAATGCGAATACAAATAATAATAATAATAGTCAAATTAGTTTATAAACAATTGAGAATATATAATAGGTTACTGCTTGCACTTCTGCTAAGGTTTAGTGTGGGGTTAAGGGTCAAAGTACTAATAAGAGTGTTTGGGATGTCTGCTGCCATGAAACAAAATGGAAACTTGATTGATAGCTGGGGGCTGAAAGGAGAATGCGCAATGGAGAAAGCAAAGGTCATAAAGCCGTTTCCCTTCTCTGCATATATAATGACACAATCCTTCAAGAAATAGGAAAATGTAGATACAGTGGATTAATATAACATATGTTAACCACACTTCTGATCATTTTGACATACAAACATTTATGAGACTGTGAATAATGGAGGTAATGTATTACTGTTAGCCGCATCTTTAGATGTGGGGTATGATCTCTCTCCCACATACGTACTTTTATTTCGTGCTGATAAACTACAAAATTAAATTGAAGTGGTATGAGAATTTCAGCTTTCTTTTAATTGTCGAAATGATTCTGTTCTATTGCATTTCAAAATAGTTTGTGTTAACAGCTGGTACTCTATAGGCATGCATTTATGTATACCATTTTTTCCTTTTTTAGGTCTTGTGTGCATGAAATCTAGCAGTTCAGTTGTAGAGCTGGTGATGCTTCTCTGCTCTCAGGTGAGGTTTAAGTAACAGTGTTTGAAATTTCTGTCTTTGAGCAGAGTGGAAATAACCATTAAAATTTTACTTTAAATTTAAGGTTATGTGTAATTGGGAGAAAGATTATGTGCAAGGCCTTTTAATTAAAAACAAAAAAAAACCAAAAAACCAAAAAAACCCCCAAACCATCATATTAATTGTGTCTATTCAGTTGGAGAGAGAAGATACTGAGGGTTTTATGTTACCTTGCTACTGAGCATTTACGTAACCTTGATGGTGGTTTGCCTAAGTAATTCTATGCTGTCATTTTTGTAAGATAAAATAGGATCAGTAAAATATTAAGGTTATAGAAATAGATTGAGTTCTGTGTCTTGGCATGCTGAATCCTCTGGGATGAATCGAATTTTTCCTTTTGTGTAGAGGTTATGAAATGAGTGATAAATACTTTTGAAACCCTGTCATTCTCAATTGATGTGACAAGTCCTTAAGAATTTGAGAAAAATTAGAGAAAGCAACCGTGATTGTCAGCAGTTTGGGGCATTCTACATTCCTAAAGGCAAAGTGATTTTAGATATTTAAGAACCTGAGAATTACCTGTTTCTGTTGTTAGTAAAGAGCCAGAGCCTAAGGAACTTTCTTAAAATTGTATATGCGATATTAACTAGATTTCCTTTTTGGGTTTCTTGCTTTCTTTTTTGTAATTAAATGGAAGACTGTTTTTATTGAGCCTTTCTTTTGGTGCCTTAAAAATGATACCTTTCTGGTAGTAAATTCCCCCACTTAGAACTTTAAAATAGCCTTTTTTAATGGGAATGGTATTGGTCTAGAGGTCAAGGGTTCTGACCCATTTCAAAACCTTTGACCTTCATTTACAACCCGTATGGTTTGCTTGCCTGACGAATAAGGATAATGCAAAATTAATGTTTCTTCACATCGATTTATTCGTTTTAGTGCCTATATTGCCAAATTTATTTAGAGTGTGCTGATAGACATTTCATGAATACAAATGAAAGAATCATAGAAGGTGTGAAAAATCGATAGTCTGCATTGTCAATAAAGTGCAGTAAGAACAATTACTTCTGGAGATTACACCTAATAGATTTTACAATGAACTAGTGAAGAGTAGTTATGTTTTCTAGTGAGCTTATTATTAACGAATGTATCCAGAACTTTGCTCATTTAGTTTTCCATCTTCTTCAGGAAATATGTTATATTTTTACTCTGAAAGGACTTTAATGTTTGTTATGTAGCTTCTGGAATTTAGAGATGGCTGGTTTACGTATGGCAGTACTGGAAGTGGACATTGTTCACAACTTTTAGAATAAGAATTTGCAGCTGATTTAAGTTAGAAAAGAGTCCTTGCTACCAAGAAATCCATATACAAGTTTTACTGCTCATTCGTTAATGTGTTAGAGTAAAACTTTCTGAGTATTAAATATGTGCCTGACAGCTTGGTATTACCATTATAAAAACTAGTTTTCGGTATCCATGCTGCTTGTATCAATAATTAGTAGTTGACCTTTCCTTCTTTTTTGGTAATCTAATCTTTTTTTAAAATCACATTGTGCTCTGTACTGTATGTTACTTGTTTGGTTTTGGGAAGTGGAAAGGATAAGGAATAAATGACATGCTCTAATGCATCTATTTGTCACATGTGTCACAATGATGCTTAATGCTAATCTAATCAAATTGAGGAGATCGTGATTGCTTAGCAGTGCTAGTTGCAGAGACTGAGGTTGTTCTTTGTGAAATAGTAGAAATAAACCAATAAAGTCACAAAGACCTGAAAGTCTTTTTAAAGTTACATGGCAGCTATAATTTTTGGCAGAATATGAAAAATGATGTGAGAAATGAATCTAAAATTAGCTCCAGATGTATACAGATTGTTCTGGGGTGATAATTACATTTTTCACTTTGAATTTTCCTAATTCTAAGAGGTCAGCGTGGCAATCACAGAAGTGATTTATTTTGTTAAGAAGTGAACTGTCTTTTGCTACATGAAAGCTTGAGAGATATGAAATTGAATTTCAAGCCGACATTTTACAGATACTGGGAGGAGATGGGGTTGAGCTTGATTGATTTTTTTTTCTTTTTTTTTTCTTTTTTTTTTTTCTTGGTGGCCCAAGATAGGGTGGGAAGTGAAGTGATATCCTTTTGCTAAAATTTTAATTAATTTTTAAGAGGAGATGGAGAGGATGAAGTGCCAAAGATCAAAAGATCAGGTCAAAAACTAGTTTTTAATCACATAAATAATGTGGCATAGTTACAAAGTAAGTATCTGCAAATTTGATTTAAAACTTCACAAATTTGTCAGCCATCATTTTATGAAATTGAAAGATTGCTCTGATTAATATCTTTGGTCTTTTTTATGCTAACCTCTTTCTGAAAATTTGTTTTAAACATGGTATATGCAATGTAAACACTTGGATTGTTTTTCTGAAACACCTAAAATTTTTATGATGTTTATTTAAATTTGTGGCTGGAATGTGTTTTTTCTTTCTCAGAAGTGCAAAGTGGAATTATAATGTCTCACAAGTAATTTTTTCAGAAAATTGTGAATAGAAAACTCTTTCCAAGGTGAAGTGTTTTAAAAAAAAATTCAAGAGATACCATTCTGTGAAACTATTTGTGACACCTGATTAATTTCTTCTGTTGTCTAAAGTTCATATGTTTACACATATGGAAAATGACCATGGCTTTTGTGTTTTAATTCTGTGGTTTTTATGTTGATATATTGTTTTATGTTTAACACAAGGTAAAAAGAGAAACAGGTGGTTTGAGATACAGACAAAAGGCTTTTTCCAAGACAAAAACAGTTGTGTTTTTTGATAGACACGCTGTGTTTTGAGATGTGTCTCTGTGTGTATACTTAACATTTATATAAATCTATCAAAACATAAAGAAATCCTTCATTTAATATTACTGCGAAGTGTTCCTGCTTATTTGACATTAATATCATTTTTGAAAGAATCGACGTTGCATTCAAGGCCACTTTATAAAAGCGTTGTGTTGCTCATCCTAATTCAGTCTGACACACATTCCAATAACACTACCTCCCTTCTACGGTTTAAAACTAAATTTATGGCTGAGCATTGTGAAGTGCATCATTTAAAAATGGTTTCAACCCAAAACATCTAATAAATAAATAATGTGTATGGCTACTCAGTAGCAGACTTTCCAGACTAGAAATCATTCCATCGGATACTCAACAGTCCACTATCGGAGAGGGCTGTCAGATAAATCTTATAGTAGCTGCATTCATGTCCTGTAAATCACATGTTATTGTCTGAGCCTTCTGCCAGGTCATCTATTCTTTTCCCATTTATCAGAAATGCATACAGTACAGTGAACCTAGAAGCACCATCTAGTCTGGCCTGGCATCCTGTTGGGGTAATTAAACCAGCTAAAAGAGAGAAGTCCTGTGCCTATTATACCTTTTAAGTGAGTGACGTCAGGATGTTAAAGCTGCTCATATGCTGTTGTGAGACAAAGCTTCTGCGTGGAGAGCTGTGATATCACCCCTGAATAAAGCATTTTCATCCAAAAGGACTCTCCCTCTGCCTAAAATGCAAAAGGGCATGTATGAATTGAGTGCATGTTTATCCATAAAGTGAACATGCTGCTGTGCTTCCTTTCATTTGCCAGGTGTGTTCTTGAAATACATGACTAAGTAGGAAAAACTGTGATCTTCCCTACTCTCTCATGAAGGTATTAAAAACATTTATCTGTTGCTCACACACAGGAAGCTTTTGTCCTATTATTGTAGCTCCAAGGTGAAAAGGTACAAAGATAGGCGAATTAGGTTCCTTTGAATTTACAGAATTGCAGCATTTGAAAAATGCTTCTTTGTGTAGTAAATCAACTGAATTGTTGATGGCATATGTGTAGGAGAACTAATTAGGTGGTTCTTGTCAGATCCATCTTTGACTTAAAAGCTTTTTTCTACTGAATCTAAATTTTCTAGATTATAAAATAAACTTACACTAACTGACTTAAATACTGTTTGCTGCTTCTGTAATTTTTTAAAATGGGTGGAATGCCACCCAGCCTTTTTAAAAGTTTGCAATTAAAAATTAATGAACGCTGCAGCGACTTTTTAAGGCCCTTCCACCACCACTACCCACACATACACCCTGCTTGCTGATTCCAGGTGTAAAAGCTTTTTAGTTCCTCCTTCCTCCGCCCCCTGTTGGTTTCAAAGGGCACATTCTTGATAGCTGATGGCATATATAAAACCAAGACCAATGTTTTAATACATTTAATCTCTAGGTATTTTATCTTCTTGAAATATTAATATGATATATTGCAACGTAACTACATAGCTGTAGCTATTGGATTTATATTAGACCTTGATAAACTGTATTGTTCATGGTGAGATAGAAGAGAGAAGCGTAAACTCTGATACTCCAGGGTATTTTTGTGTGCAGTGATAAGATCTGCTCATGTGATCCAGTGGCAGAGTATGCCATGCTCTGTGCTCATAGTTTTTGGAGTTATTTTTTTGAGAGAAAAGCGTGATCCAAGGCAGTCTGTGTGCATCTTAAAAATACAGCAGATGATGATTAAACCAGAAAAAATTACACTGTGAAAGTTGGTCTTACTGCCTGTGTAGGCAAACTTATAGGTCTTCAACTGTCTTTTTTGTCTTGTCTAACTCAACTCACCAAACCAGTTATCACTGGTTAAATGGTGAAAAGTTTGCAAAAGGTCTGTCTTTAGTGTGATCTTTCTCTCAGATGCTCCTAAATCATTTTACTAACAGATTCTGGTGCTCATAAAGAAGTCAATATTAATCTTTTGCATGGGCAGTATCTTCATTGCATCATATCTCTTACTCTCATAAGGAATCTTATTTAAACGATATCAACATGTGCCATGCAGTCATGGGTCTGTACAAACAATATGATAGCATATTTCCCCTATGGAAGAGCAGTAGGATAGTAGTTAAGATTTTGATTTTTCAGCAGATTTTTTGCACATACACCCTCCTCCTTCACCCCAGTAATTAGAATCGTAGA